GCTGTTATTGCTGCTGCTGTTGGTTATTGCTGCTGTTATTGCTGCTGCTGTTGGTTATTGCTGCTGTTATTGCTGCTGCTGTTGGTTATTGCTGCTGTTATTGCTGCTGCGGTTGGTTATTGCTGCTATTATTGCTGCTGCTGTTATTGCTGCTGCTGTTGGTTATTGCTGCTATTATTGCTGCAGCGGTTGGTTATTGCTGCTATTATTGCTGCTGTTGTTATTGCTGCTGCTGTTATTGCTGCTGCTGTTGGTTATTGCTGCTGTTATTGCTGCTGCTGTTGGTTATTGCTGCTGTTATTCCTGCTGCTGTTATTGCTGCTGCTGTTATTGCTGCTGCTGCTGCTGTTATTGCTCCTGCTGCTATTGCTGCTGCTGCTGCTGTTATTGCTCCTGCTGCTGTTATTGCTGCTGCTGCTGTTATTGCTGCTGCTGTTGGTTATTGCTGCTGTTATTGCTGCTGCGGTTGGTTATTGCTGCTATTATTGCTGCTGCTGTTATTGCTGCTGCTGTTGGTTATTGCTGCTATTATTGCTGCTGCGGTTGGTTATTGCTGCTATTATTGCTGCTGCTATTATTGCTGCTGCTGTTATTGCTGCTGCTGTTATTGCTGCTGCTGTTGGTTATTGCTGCTGTTATTGCTGCTGCTGTTGGTTATTGCTGCTGTTATTGCTGCTGCTGTTGGTTATTGCTGCTGTTATTGCTGCTGCTGTTGGTTATTGCTGCTGTTATTGCTGCTGCTGTTATTGCTGCTGCTGCTGTTATTGCTGCTGCTGCTGCTGTTATTGCTGCTGTTATTGGTTATTGCTGCTGCTGTTGGTTTTGCTGCTGTTATTGCTGCTGCTGTTGGTTATTGCTGCTGTTATTGCTGCTGCTGTTGGTTATTGCTGCTATTATTGCTGCTGCTATTATTGCTGCTGCTGTTATTGCTGCTGCTGTTATTGCTGCTGCTGTTGGTTATTGCTGCTGTTATTGCTGCTGCTGTTGGTTATTGCTGCTGTTATTGCTGCTGTTATTGGTTATTGCTGCTGCTGTTGGTTATTGCTGCTGTTATTGCTGCTGCTGTTGGTTATTGCTGCTGTTATTGCTGCTGCTGTTGGTTATTGCTGCTGTTATTGCTGCTGCTGTTGGTTATTGCTGCTGTTATTGCTGCTGCGGTTGGTTATTGCTGCTATTATTGCTGCTGCTGTTATTGCTGCTGCTGTTGGTTATTGCTGCTATTATTGCTGCAGCGGTTGGTTATTGCTGCTATTATTGCTGCTGTTGTTATTGCTGCTGCTGTTATTGCTGCTGCTGTTGGTTATTGCTGCTGTTATTGCTGCTGCTGTTGGTTATTGCTGCTGCTGTTATTGCTGCTGCTGTTATTGCTGCTGCTGCTGTTATTGCTCCTGCTGCTATTGCTGCTGCTGCTGCTGCTGTTATTGCTCCTGCTGCTGTTATTGCTGCTGCTGCTGCTGCTGCTGTTATTGCTGCTGCTGTTGGTTATTGCTGCTGTTATTGCTGCTGCGGTTGGTTATTGCTGCTATTATTGCTGCTGCTGTTATTGCTGCTGCTGTTGGTTATTGCTGCTATTATTGCTGCTGCGGTTGGTTATTGCTGCTGCTGTTATTGCTGCTGCTGTTATTGCTGCTGCTGTTGGTTATTGCTGCTGCTGTTGGTTATTGCTGCTGTTATTGCTGCTGCTGTTGGTTATTGCTGCTGTTATTGCTGCTGCTGTTATTGCTGCTGCTGTTATTGCTGCTGCTGCTGTTATTGCTCCTGCTGCTGTTATTGCTGCTGCTGTTGGTTATTGCTGCTGTTATTGCTGCTGCTGTTGGTTATTGCTGCTATTATTGCTGCTGCTGTTGGTTATTGCTGCTATTATTGCTGCTGCTGTTGGTTATTGCTGCTGTTATTGCTGCTGCTGTTGGTTATTGCTGCTGCTGCAGAGCAAGTACGGAACTTGCTACTGCCAATACATACACGACACGCTGCTGTGAGCAAGACATGCTGCTGCTGTACAATATAGCATACATGAATTACCCGTAGTAGATCTATACAGGTGGAGCCGGGGAAGGTGGAGGGTTTATGAAAGCGCGATGCAACTGCTACAGCAAATGCTGACCAAGTATTTGAAGGTTGAGCAGCGAGCTCATTGGCTACTGATACAGCAGGAACCAATCAGCTGTGCCCTATAGAGAAAGATCTGATTGCAAGCAGATTGAGTTCAGGACCAATCAGCCTGCGCCATCTAGAGTTTCATGACAGAACTTTGTCTTTAGACTATATTGAAACAGAGATATATAGTTTCGTTTACAGTTTTTTAACAACAAAAAAGACAACAACAAACAAATGTTTGTTAAACACAAAATGTTTTTATTTCCTGTTTCCATTTTTCATTTATAATGATAATCATTTGATTTTCGAATATAAGTTTCACAATTTTCATGTCAGGCAATATATAACAGTATATTCAGGATATTTAATAAGATACATCTAGTTTCTGAGCAGTGTTTTTACAGAGAGTGAAGAAAGAATAAGACACCGTCTCACTATGAAGGACAGATGAAAAACCGGGATGAGTCTGTGAGCTATTGAAGTCATCCGGCGAAAAGTCAAAGTGACGAGCGTGTCGAGTTATTGGATTGGAGAGAAACACAGACGGGGAGAAAGAGCTCAAAGATGCCGTCAGTGTGTGAGAGGGAGTGAAAAACTCTCTAATGAGTTTCTAGTAGCGCAGGTGTGTTTGTCGTTGCCGTTGTTTGCGTAAGCCTGTGTTTTTCGCCATGTGTCATCGATGATATTGTCAGAAGCGTGTTGGTTCAATTGAAGCTGTAAAGGTGCGGTCACACTAGCGAAATTCGGGCGAAATTTCGCGTGCAATAGCATATTAAGAACTGCTCACTTTCAAACCAAGCGGAAAATTTGCGTGACCAACTCGAGCACCAGCGAAATCTACATGGGGAACACATTCGCTCTTGCGAGAAACTCCCCAATCGCGCAAATTCCTGGCTGGAATTCGCCCGCAAGATTGTGCTGAGCAACGGTAAATGTGACCGTGCCTAAACACTCAGTTACACCTATGACATCACGCACTGTTTCAATGGTGACGTCCTAAATTCCTGTCTGATTGAATTTTTCGTCTTACGGAAATTAATAAATCGTATGAAAAATGTAAGTTGACTACACTCGCGGCGGTATACACACGCTCGAATGATTCGCTGCTGCATCTAAAATACAGAAGTCGAAAACAATGTGCAATAATTCGATTTACCGTATCTTAAAAACATATAAAATCTATTCCATGACAGGCAGCACACGTGAAGTAGATCTTAGTAAACATACGGCAGGCAGCGTAAGTTTAGCACGCGGCTAATCTAGTTATTAGTCACTGCTCTTTGTAAACATTGAACTGTTCCCAACATCAGGCCCGTAACTTCTGTTCGGATGTGCAACGGATGAACTAGTGACGTTAATTTTTAAAGTATGGCCGCGTTTGGCTCTTTTTTCCCCACACACTTTTCTAACACACACCCTCCAATGTTTCAAATGCACAACACTGTGGCAGTAACCCAATAGAAACACAGCACATTCACTACTGGGGGCGAAATGAGGGATTGGATTGTGAAAAACACGAAAGAAAAAGAAAAAACAGACAGGCCGGCCGCCCGCACGTAATCGATGGCGGGCTAGTGTTTCGCTAATAAGCGCTACGCTAATGACCGTCTCGATAACGTCCGTTTGACTCGAATCCCCTTGAACATCCAAATGTCAAATCACATGATAAAAATCTAAGATCCTACCAAAGCTAAGAAGAAATTAACAAAATCTTTGAGAAATATGTTCATCTAATGTTCGCGTAATTTTCCCGCTGTGCGCTAAAGTGCAGCTAACGCATGATGTGCTCAACAACAAAGGAATTAAAAAAAAAACACTTTTGGGGAAGAAAAACACGTTTGTTTGTTCATCTACATTAGTTAAAATTGGATTGGCAAATTTTCTTAATTTAAGTTTTTTTTCTTTCACCCAGGAACCCCTTTTCTTTGTAACTACTCTCTTCGTTAACTACCCCAGATTCGCTATTATTTACAAGTATTAACAGTACACTCTTGGACCAGAAGGTATTGCTGTGTACACATTTAGAAAGATGGGTCGAACCATTCGGGACAAAATGGAGCAAATACATTATTAGTCGACTGGGCAAATTAAGCACGAAACAAGCGGCGAACTGATATGGCGCAGCTCGAAGCTGATTGGCTAATGTGTAAGTCGTTGAGTGCAATCTGAGCGTGTGCAGAACGCCAGCCAATCGTTTAACAGCGTGTGTGTGTGTGTGTGTGCGTTTGTGAACATTACAGTGTTACAAAAGTGTTTCCACAAACATTGTCATATAAAAAATAAAAACCACAAATCAGATAATAAATAAATAAATGAATAACATCATAAATGTACCTTAAATTCATCAATCAATCAATCAAGCAATAAATAAATAAATAAATAAATGAATGGATACAACAGATATCCGGTTAAGAGTGCGATATATCTCACTGGGACAGATATGGAAAGTTCATGGCTCTATTTATTAATCAGTCATATTAGCACATTTCCTTATTCATTCGGATTTAATCGATTATGAATGAAGTTGAATTCAACCTGATTTGACTTCTCTAATTTGTGTTATTTATTACACACTGACAGTCACATAAAAGCTATTTTTATAGACTAAACGAGTGAATCCAGATCGTATTTCAGCTCAATATCAATAAGTAAGAGAGTATATTTTGCATACAGAAAATTAAGCTTATTTTAGGGTGATATTTTTCACACTTTACATTATTTTCATGACAATTATTTAACCACAAATGGGGAAAATATGTTTGCCATGGAAAAAAATTGTAATCGGCTTAATTTTCTTGACGTAAAATCTAAACTCTTGAATGATTGTGGTCCCTCTGAATTCACTGGATTGTTCATGAGATTTTGATTATGTCTGTATTGGTTGTCTAGAGATTTAGAAAGGCTATCGATGATATTTTCCTGCTCTCTTGATTTCACTTTGGAACGAGATCAGCTGGGTATGACGACAGTCAAGAGTACTCAAAACACACAGAGATACAAAGACACGCACGCACACACACAGAGATCATCATGTAGACCCGAGTATGAGGACGGACAAATACATTAAACACTTTGAGATATGATTGACACCTCCTACAATCTCCTGTGTGTGTGTGTGTGTGTGTGTCTGGCAGATGTAGTTGCTCTACATTTTGTTGATGCGCAGCTTGAAGGACACACGGCCAGCGAACTTGTCTCTCTCGCTGAACTGAAGTTTGGCATCAGAGGTGAGAGCGTTGATCTTACACTCCACATTGACGTCCATGTTGAAAGTGATGTTTGTGAACTTCACGGCCACCAGAGGCTGAGAATAATTCACCTAAACAAACACACACAGAGGTTACACGCGTATATAATCACACAACAGTGCTGTGTGTGTGCTTTTGTTGTTGTGATATATGAGGACACAAATGTGTATAATGACATGCATATTACACTGGTATTGCAACTTACACGTGATATATGAGGACATTGCATGAGTCCTCATATTTCAAATAGCTTAAAAAACATAAAAAACAATGTTTTTTTTTTAATGTAAAAATGCAGCATGTCTCCTGTGATGGGCAGGTTTAGGGATAGGGGCAGTGTGTGTGTGTGTGTGTGTGTGTGTGAGTTGGTTTATGTGATTTATGAGGACACAAATTTGTATAATGACATGTGTATTACACTGGTATTACAACTTATGGGTGGTTTATGAGGACATTTCAAAAGTCCTCATAAATCAAATGGCTTAAAAAACATAAAAAACAATGTTTTATTAAAAAATTAAAAATGCTGCATGTCTCCTGTGATGGGTAGGTTTAGGGATAGGGGCAGTGTAGGGGGATAGAATATATAGTTTTTACGGTATAAAAACCATTACGCCTATGGAGAGTCCTCATAATGCTGTTGCACCAACGTGTGTGTGTGTGTGTGTGTGTGTGTGTGTGTGTGTGTGTGTGTGTGTGTGTGTGTGTGTGTGTGTGTTCTTGCCTGTGCTCTCTTGCCGTAGTACGGATAGTACATGAGGTTGAAGGTTCCGTTAGGAGGGAAGAATGCGATTTCGCCAATGCTCTCCGAATCCTCCTTCTACACAGAACAAGAGAGAAATCTCAGCGCCATGTAAAGCACAGTGATTCTCAACCAGATGACTTAAAATCATTTAAACCAGAAAGACAAACTTTGATGTCCCTGGTTTTATAAGCTTTAAATTGAGTGAAGTAGAAAGAAAGATGTTTTAAAGCTACACTGTGTAACTTTTTTAGTTTATTCTTAAGCCTAGTTCACACTACATGATTTTAAAACGTCGGGCTGAACTGTGCGGTTCACACTACATGACTTGCTCTCTGTGAAATCAGGAGTGTTCAAGTTGTTGAGCTAGTTCACAGCACACGACACAACGTAATTGATCCGCAACAGGAGGTAACGCACTACACGAGTTGACAACAACTCTGTCACCCTACGATTCAATCTTGTCTACAAACCACGTTTTGTCACGAAAAATCACGCGATAAAACGAACCGGAAATGACGCGAAACAGCACGCGCGCCAATACCCAGCAAAGAAGACGAAGAAGAACACAACACGCGAACATGCCTTGCTCTGATTGGCTGTAGCTCATGACATCACTGAGGTTGAGTCGGGCGACAGCTCTGGATATCTAGGATGCTAGATTTTTTCTGGGCTCGGCGACGCGTCTGCGAGGCGTCTGCGAGCGTCTTTGATGCGTTGTTGGCTCTTTCATACTAACAGATTGGCAAGCGTTCATCGCCCGCTAATCTCCCGCGATTTGCACACGATAATACCCTGACCTGTCGGCGAGCTCAACGATTTGCAAATCGGGCTTAAATCGGGCTTAAAATCATGTAGTGTGAACTAGGCTTTAGCTAAAAACACTTAGTTCTTTCAAAAATATATGTGCTCACTGCTCATTAATGTATATTTACTTCGTTCAAGTAATAAAGTATTCTCGTGAGTGTATAATATGCCATTGAAAATACATACGGGTAAGGGGTTCTAATGTCGGTCGCCATGTTGCCCCTCCATCTTGAAAGTACATTAGCCAAAGAGGGACATACCCGTTAATTCAAGCTTCGCCTTTCGCGTTTTAACACTCGATGGCACCGTGTCGAATGTCAAGAGGGGGATTGCTTGAGACTGATATATAAAAAACCTGAAAGCCTTTTCACATCAACTGATCTCTGCTCACGGAGAAACTGATATAGCCTACAATGTTACAATGTTTGCCTTACGCTAGTAATGTCGTACAACATACAGAATAACGACAGCACTGATAAAAGTTACTTTACTAAGATTAGCTTGCATTCGTCTGGGAACCTGATAACTGATGTTAGCAATGAAATGGTAAAAAAATTACGAAAACATAAAACTATTATTCATTTTACATAGATGTCATAACCTAAATGTTATCTGACAAATTAAATTACTGCAAATTATAATAGTTTTCTAAAATAACCTCATCACTTGAAGGAACACTCATGGACGAGGTCGAACTGGAAGCCATGTTAATCTTGGACTACATTGGCCACCGTAGGAGTTAAAACGAAATCGGAATTGAGAGGAACAACAGAAACTAATATTCACTGGATGGTCATATACCTTTTCACCGCTAGATGGGGGTAAAAATCACACAGTGTAGCTTTAACAGACTACTAACGTGAATTAGCATGTTGCTAGCATTTTTTAGCACTTTGTAAGCTCAAATTAGCATGTTGCTAATAACTTTCTGTTGGCGTGAATTATCTTGTTCTATCATGTTGCTAACATGTTTTAGCCCTTTGTTAGCATTGATTAGCACATTAATTATGTGACGGTCACCAGCTGGAGTGCCCTTGAGAGCCACCAGAGGGCGCTCCACAACAGACTATTGTCATTCCCTCACAAACTACATCTCCCATAATTCTCTGCCTGGACTCATTAGCACTCATTGTTGTCACCTGTGTCTCATCTTCTTGTTTGCTCCACCTATATAAGCCTGGTTCTTTCTGTCATTCCCTGCGAAGTCTTGTTAGTTGTTTACACTGCATTTCTGAGCATTTCCACTGTTTTCCATGTTCCTGGTTTTTGATATCTGCCTGTGTCCTGGTTTTCCCGTTCCTGTCTCACCCTCTGGGTTTGTTTGTTTGATTGGACTGATTTACTGTGCTGAAAGGTTACCCTTTCAATAAAACTGCATTTGGATCCTCAACCTTCTAGTCTCAGAGCAGTACGTGACAGATAACATGTTTTATCACATTGTTAGCATGAATTAAAATGTTGCTAGCATGAATTAGCATGTGTTTAACATGATTTAACGCATGAATTAGCACATAGCTAACACGATTGACCTCTTCCTAGCATGAATTAGCATGTTGCTTACATGTTTCGCAACTTTGCTACCATGGTTTAGCATTTTGCTATCATGAATTAGCATTTTGCTATCATGAATTAGCATTTTGCTAACATGAATTAACATGTTAATAGCATGATTTAGACTGTTGTTGGCATTTCCTAAACTAGTTGCTAGGCTTTGTTAATAATAGATACGTAGTGGATGAAGCTTAAATACTCTATTAGGGTTATTTAGTTTTGCCTAACTTATAAAATAATAGTCTGAAAAGATTATAAAGATTTTTTTAATGGAACCGTTTATTGAACATTTAAACAATGAAATAAGTTTATATACAAAACAAGTTTGCATATGTGTTTTTTAGTTGAGTATCATGTTTGAAACATCAGGCTTTTATGGCTCATATAATATGATATCCTGAGAATATGGAGGAGAAAAAAAAGTTTTATTCAGATGCCCAAAATGAGTAAAAATATGCAAATTGGTGCAAATGCTGATATTAATATGGACAAAAATTGATGAAACTCTGATGCTTGTAATGTAAATAAATGATATATTTATAACAGGTACTAACATAAAATGCATATAAATATCCCTCATTACTCTGTATCTGCTAATAATATGTCTAAGTAAGATGATATTTAAATGCTTAGTTTTATTATGCAATGCAATATGATTGACAGATAAACCTTCCTCAAAAGCCTGATGATCATATTTGATACTCACATCACATATACAATGATTAGTGCTGGGCAATGATTAATCGCATCCAAAATATGCTTGTGTTTACATAATATATGTGTGTTGTGTATAATTGTTTTGTATATATAAATACACACACATGCATGTATATATATTTATACATAATTTATATTATATATAAATATTCTATATATAAATACCAAATGTTTCTTAAATATATACATGCATGTGTGTGTATTTATATATAGAAAATAATTATACACAGTACACACACATATATTATGTAAACACAAGCATATTTTGGATGCGATTAATCATTGCCCAGCACTAAAAATGATGCATGGATAATCCATAAACTGAAGTGGCTTCAGTCCAGTTAGTGTTCATTTTGAAATATTACTAACAATATCTAAGTTGCACTAAAAATCAGTAAAGATTAAGCATAAAGACACATGAACCACAAGCTGAAAGAGGGGCTTCAACTAACCTAGTTCAGCACTAGTTAGGGTGTGCACTAATGTAGCATGTGTGCTAGTCTACGTTTGGGGTTTATTGGAAGCTAAGTGTGTATTCTAGTCTCTTTCTTACCCACTCGTCTCCCACTTTATATCTCTGAGTACGGAGGGATGAAGTGAACAGACATTATTGATGCTTGACTGGCTGTTAGTGATGAGTTTGTCATGATGGTTGGCTGAAGGTCAGGTAGATCTCACTCACCTTTGCCCCGCAGGTCACGAACGGAGCCTGAATGTCCTTATCATCTTTATCTTTACTTCCTGGCCTCATCCCAATCACCTGCAGAAGAGACCGCGTTCATGAGGGAAGGATAATACAGCATTTATCATCAAAAGGACTGACGATAGAGAGGGTATGCGCGTGACGTCACGTCGGCCCGAGTGGCAAACACACTGAGTGGCAGCATTGGTTTCAGCGTGAATGCCACGAGAAAAACACAAAACGCAACTAAACCGGGAACGAGCTTTGAGATTGACTGTACAAATAGATTTGACAAGAAATTTGAGGTATATTTTTACAGACTGCTGAAATCTACAGAACAGAGACGCAAATGAATCGCTGCAATTCACAGAAACAACTGGATCCGGGCAGGGAAAGGCGGATTTGCTGTTACCATTTTGTGTCAATATGCTGAATTTAGGGGTAAAATCATATTGTATTGCTATATATTGTAATTTAGGGGTAAAATCATATTGTATTGCTATATATTGTATTGACAATTCATCAATTAAATATTTACCATCGTATATTCTGCATAATTGGATGTTTTTGAATAAACACTGACAAAAAAACTACTCAAATTTTAGGGCTGGATGATATGATGATATTTTAACATTGATACGAGTGATCACATAGACCTATATTGTATTTATATAAAGCGTTCACAGGCAAATTTGCTTTATGTTTTTTCCCCGGGCGTTGAAATCAGGCGCATATTAATGTCAGGAAACATGATTCCTGCTGCGTGTCGATATCCACGATCACTGGATCTCTGGTAAGTTGTGAGGAACAATATATCGAGTCCAATCTTTAGTTTAAACTGATAATTGTTTGTTTAACTCGCGTTTTCACAGTTTCCCGTATAAAATCCAATCACTCATCAGCTCTTCTGCCACTCAGTCCGACGGGAACGTGAAGTCAATGCATATCCTCTATAAAATGCCCTTTTCGAATATTCCCTTTCATGCAGTGTGTAATAAAGCCGGCATTCAGCGTGAGACTCACGCCAATTGAGCCAATTCTCACGCTCTCGAGTCTCACGCCACACCCCCGATTTCTCACGCTGAAGTGTCAACCCGGTCGGTCAAATGCCTGAAAGATGAGTTTATCTATAGATCTACCTGTTGAGCCATTCGTGATCGACTAGTTTTACCGCAAATAAGTGAAAATATCCTGTAATCTTGAGCGAGCGTGCATGTGAGGCAGATGTGTTGAGCTCCTAACGGCGCGGTCCTAACCGCACGACGGCAGAGAGGTAAGCGAGCGAAAGAGCTTGCGTGTCTTTCGCAACACACCCCCCCAAAGCTGTTTGTGAAGGTAAAAGCTCTGCAAAGTTTTAAAGATCAAAGTCCACGACAAATAAAGTTATTGTCTCCTGAAAGAAAGAACCGACTCTGAACTGCTGAAACGAGTCGTTAGATCCAGTCTCACTTCCTGTTACATTCCTACATAACGATGTAACACATTTGCATAATGACAGTCTGTGGTTTTCATTGGCTGCTGGCGAACAGCCGTTAAACACTGTAGTGTGTCTGAGACTGGAAGAGTTTGGTTCGTGTTGTTCATGTCGAGAAGACGCTGTGAATGAGGTTTGATGCACTTCAAAAGGACGAGGACTCACGTACGAATTGATATGGAGAAACCGAAGCCGTTGTTACTGTTCGTGTCACTGCGCATCAAGCGCTGAAAGTCAGATATGCTAATGAGTAGGGGTGTGCAAAAAAATCGATTCACATTTGAATCGCGATTCAATCTTTACCGATTCAGAATCGATTCATAGAATTCCAAAAATCGATTCATATATTTTTTTTTAATGGCGTGCACGGGCGGAGTGGCAATCGGGTGAGTCGGGACTTTTACCGGTGGTTCGGTAGTGTTTCGAGGCCGTGAGGGCCGGTCTGATAAATAGTTACATTGCAAGTTCTTGCCGCCCGCTGGTCAAACTGCAGCCTCTCTGCTCAACCCGTAAATAAATGCATCGATCCGCAGATCTTATGTTTGAGTTCTGTAGATCTGTTGCCAAGCGTGTCAGAGGTTACGGGTTCTAAACCGCTCAGTGTTTTCTCTCTCTCATCAAAACCGAATATGTTCATCACGTTTGTGAGCATTTTATTTTGTGATTGGATTTTACCGGAGTCTCCACAACGGCGATATGAAGCGCGCGTCCGAGTGAAGACTGCGCGAGCCACAGAGAACACTGTATCCATGACACTGATAGCAGCGGACACGAGCGCTCAGCTTGATTTCAAAAACAACAGATCTCTTATTTAATAGCGAACTAAATGAATGCTCTGCTAGTTAACTGGAGATACCCGCAAATTACGCCCATGAACGACTTCACTGGATCTAAACAAATCAATCTAACCATAGATGTTACCAGTAGCGGTGGCTTTTTTTAAAATCTATTTAAAATAATTTCGCAAGGGTTCTATGACATTAGTATATATTTTTAGGAAGTTCAATGTGCCCAGTCGAGTTCACATTTCAACAGTCAGCCTGGTAGCTGAAGTAGTCCTTACACCACATTCAGTATAATTGTTTGTTTGATCTGACTACAGCACTTTAAAGCTAAATGTAAAAGCTTCTGTTTAAGTTTTATTTTAAACTTGAATTAAATGTAAGCTGGCCAAAGCTTGGCACTTTGCACTTTTTAATTGCAGAAGTTTTTATTTTATGACGTTTTATTGTATGAAGTCATATAAAGTAATATCAAACTACATTTAATTTGCTGTGTTTTTTTCTTCTTTTAAATTGTGTCTACTGCAATCAATCACAGGAAAAAGTAAACTACATTTATATGATGTGAATCGTTTTTTGAATCGAGAATCGTTTTTGAATCGAATCTTGAGACAAAAAATCGGTATCGAATCGAATCGTGACATTTTCTGAATCGTGCACCCCTACTAATGAGCGTTTGGTTTCCAACACACAATGTAATAATCACAACAGACTGAGCCATCTGACCAAAATTAAAGTTGTTTATGTGTCTATGTGGTGTTTTTAATACGCTTTAAGACAAACCATGTGTAAGTTCATAAGTCGACAGCATTGCTGAGTATTTTCTGCTTAAAACTGCAGTGAACCAAAGACAGTCTCAAAAACACGGTTTGAAATCGCTGGTGTTTCTGACGTCACAAACGAGCTTGTAACCAATCAGATCAACGTGTGATCGTCAACCAGTGGATCTCTGAGCTGAGTGAGTGGAGGCGGGGCTTATTTGCATATTCATAGAACCGCGCATACTAAATGAGGCAAGGGTGTCGAGTTACATTCAAGATATTTTAAGGCATGAAAAATTTTCTTCAAGGAAAAAACTTTTAAATATGTCTTTTTGGTATTCCAGAAGTCAATATCACAAAAAGTTGAGCCGCTAAAACGTTAGGCTAAGTACGGTTTCCAATTTCAAAACGGTTTTCATAGTATGCATTTTGAGTGTAAATGCTTTTGAAAGACCTGATTTATGATGATTATAAAATATGTGTGAAGAAAAAGTAATCTTAGGCCTACTCTGTGAGTGAGTGAGTGGAGGCGGGGCTCATTCGCATATTCATAGAACCGGGTATACTACATGAGGGAAGGGTGTCGAGTTACAATCAAGCTATTTTAAGGCATCAAGAATTTTCTTCAAGGAAAAAACTTTATCTTACATGCATCAACTTCTATTCTCATGCATTTCTAAAACAGCCTCGCATTCAAACTCGAAAAGTCCAAAGCAGCACGAAAAGAGCGAAATGCATGTTTTGAACATCCAGTACATTAATCTGGAATCATCTATAGGATGACGTGCGGCGTGGTTACAGTGATCTGTGCTGTGATTGGCCAGTTACCCGGTTGAGTTTGATGAGCACGCAGGGTTTGCCCACATCGTATCCGTACGTGCGGTCGGTGAGTCCGGAGCAATCCTCCAGGATGGTGCGGTTGAACTGGCAGGAGCGTTTGGGGTTGTTGCGCACGTCTCCGCTGTCCTCCTGAATGAAGTATGTGTCTGGGGGGCAGTCGTCGTTGTTCATCACCTGCTGAGAGTTGTTATAGGCTGCGGAGAAACAGGCCAAGACACAGGCCAAAGGTCAAGCTTTCTTTACTGATGTTACTAAAGATTAGAATATGAGATAATAGAACAAATTTAACTAAACTACCATTAGAACTGGAATAAATTAAAGTTGACCTGGAAATAAATTCAAACTGAAACTGAAATAAATTTTTTATTTAAGCATAAATATCAGTTCTTGCTTTCCTGGAGCTCAAACAGTAGAGCATTGGCGCTTGCGACGTCAAGGTCATGGGTTCGATTCCCAGGGAAAGCAAGAACTGATAAGAATGTAAATGCAATGTAAGTCGCTTTGGATAAAAGCATCTGCCAAATGCATAAATGTAAATGTAAATAGTAATATTTGAAAAGAACGAAAACCGAAAACTAATGAAAGTGACAAAAGCACGTAACATAATGACTAAAATTACAACCAAAATGGAAAATATAAAAATAACAGCTAATTAAAAATATTAATATAAACTATAATAGTATATAAATAATGTAGCAGGCTTAAGAATATGTACCTTGAAATGCAATGTAAGTCGCTTTGGATAAAAGCATCTGCCAAATGCATAAATGTAAATGTAAATAGTAATATTTGAAAAGAACGAAAACCGAATACTAATGAAAGTGACAAAAGCACGTAACATAATGACTAAAATTACAACAAAAATGGAAAATATAAAAATAACAGCTAATTAAAAATATTAATATAAACTATAATAGCATATAAATAATGTAGCAGGCTTCTTAACTAAGACTATTAAAAAAAAACATTTTTGTTAATTGAGATAAAGCTAAAATAAAATTTTACTTTTACTTAAAACTTAAAAATTGTGTTTAAAAAAATAACTGATAAGAATGTACCTTGAAATGCAATGTAAGTCGCTTTGGATAAAAACATCTGCCAAATGCATAAATGTATAAATGTAAAATAAGTTAGAAGTTGAAGCTCTAAAATTATTAACTGGAAATAAATAAAAACTAAAACTGAAAATAAACATGAATTAAACCTAGAGTAATATGTTTTAAAATGAACAAAAACTAATAAATGTGACAAAAATAAAATATAAAAAAGCTAATTCAATATATTAATAAAAACTATAATAATATATAAACAATGTAGCAGGAATATTAGCATAACTAAGACAATAAGAAATATTATGAAAACCATAATGAAAAAATGTAAATGTTGCCTTGGCAATAAAACTAAAATAAGTTTTAGCAGAAGCAACTAGAAATTAAAATAAATAATTAAAAAAATGAAATTATAATAAATTAAACCTAAATATTAATATTTAAAAAGAACAAAAACTAATAAAAATTACCAAAGCACATAAAAAAATCCTAAAATAATTCAAATATAACAATGAAAGCTATTCAAAATACTAATAAAAAACATAATAGTATATAAATAAAACTGCCCTGTAGAAACACACTGTTATGATGCTTATACCGTGTATGAAGGAAACGTATAAAGGAAAGGCGTACAGGTTTGGAACTACATGAAGGTGAGTAACTAAAAGTTTATTTGTGAGTGAATAATTCTTAGAAACACTGGATACTTTCGAACTTTCGATACTTTGTCGAATTGCATGTGAGCCATTTATCCGTTTCCCAGACGCTTTTATCCACAGCAATGCATGCATTTTTATTACCAGTTCATGCATTAATCAAACCCACGAGTGTAGCGAGCACCATGTTCTACTCTTCCAGATGAAAACACTCATATATATGTGAGATTGTGAGTCATTTTACTTCATTGCATACCTTTTTTTCTCTCTATTTACTTACGTGCAAGGAAGTTATCCAGGGCCTGAATGTACGAGTCCCAGCTCTCTGTTTCCTTGATATTATAAATGATTTCTAGAGCTTCTCCTTTTGGCCGAATCATCATGCCTAGAAACACACACACACACACAGTTGCATGATAGTGTGTGTGAAATTGACGGCATCTTTTTGTGCACGTGATTATAGTGTATTTGTACCTGGTGTAGCCAGACGGTCCTGCCAAGTGGGCTTATAATCGTCCAGCGTCAGAAGCATCACATACATGGTGAGGCAGAACATGCCGGCCAGAAACGTGTAGAAGACCAGATAGAACAACAGAATCAGACCTGTGGGACACAGAACAACATCCCTTTATTATAATATTTCAATACTACTTGGGACTAAATTGGCCCACTTTTAGTGTATTAAATATACTTTTAAGTATACTTTATGTAGTAGGCATACTATCAATGTACTAGTAGTATACTTGTAAGTGTACTATTTCAATACTGTGTGGGAGTAAATTGGCTCACTTTTTAGTGTGTAAAATATACTTTTAAGTATACTTAATGTAGTATGCATACTAATATCAATGTAGTATTAGTATACTTGAAAGTGCACTATTTCAATAATGTGTGGGAGTAAATTGGTCCTTTTTAGTGTGTAAAATATACTTTTAAGTATACTTAATGTAGTATGCATACTACTATCAATGTAGTATTAGTATACTTGGAAGTGTACTATTTCAGAACTGCTTAGGACTAAATTGGCCCACTTTTTAGTATAAAATATACTTTTAAGTATACTTAATGTAGTTGGCATACTAATATCAATGTAGTATTCGTATACTTGAAAGTGTACAATTTCAATAATGTGTGGGAGTAAATTGGTCCTTTTTAGTGTGTAAAATATACTTTTAAGTATACTTAATGTAGTTGGCATACTAATATCAATGTATTATTAGTATACTTGGAAGTGTACTATTTCAATATTACTTGGGGCTAAAGTGGCCCACTTAGTATAAAATATACTTTTAAGTATACTTTATGTAGTATGCATACTAATATCAATGTACTAGTAGTATACTTGTAAGTGTAGTATTTCAATACTGTGTGGGAGTAAATTGGTCCTCTTTTTAGTGTATAAAATATACTTTTAAGTATACTTTATGTAGTAGGCATACTATCAATGTACTAGTATACTTGTAAGTGTACTATTTCAATACTGTGTCGGAGTAAATTGTCTCACTTTTTAGTGTGTAAAATATACTTTTAAGTATACTTAATGTAGTTGGCATACTAATTTCAATGTACTAGTAGTATTCTTGTAAGTGTACTATTTCAATACTCAATACTATGTGGGAGTAAATTGGCCCACTTTTTAGTGTATAAAATATACTTTTAAGTATACTTTATGTAGTATCATGCATACTAATATCAATGGTCACTTTTTAGTGTATAAAATATTCGGTTACACTTTATTATAAAGTGTCTGTGTTACAGTGTAAGAATACAAGTACATAAGTATATAAGTACTGTGTAATAATAATTAACTACATGTACTTACTACAGGGTTGGGGTTTGATTTAGGGTTAGTTGCATGTAATTGTGCATAATTTATAGTTATTACTACAACTACATGTAACATCTGTAACAAGGACACTGTAAAATAAAGTGTTACCAGATATACTTTTAAGTGTACTTTATGTAGTATGCATACTAATATCAATGTACTAGTAGTATACTTGTTAGTGTAGTATTTCAATACTACTTGAGACCAAATTGGCCCACTTTTTAGTGTATAAAAGTATACCTTAAGTGTAACAGTAGTAAACTTTTAGTACACACCAAGTTAGTATTACAAGTGATTTTACTAGTTAGATACGTTTAGCACATTTTTACCCAAAGCCAGTGATTATTATCAATAATCTATTATCTATGATCTATTATCAAGTTTATAAAGTTATAATTAATACGGCCTTTATTAACCCCCTGGAGCCGTATAGATTACTTTTATGATGGATGGATGCACTTTTTTGGGCTTCAAAATCTCAAGTACCATTCACTCCCATTATAAAGCTTGGAAGAGCCATGATATTTTTTTAAATAACTCAAGATTGTGTTTGGCTGAAAGAAGAAAGTCATCTAGGATGAAGCTTGAGAGTGAGTAAATTTTGGGATAATAAACATTTTGGGGTGAACTGACCCTTTAAGTCCTGTGTTTGCAGTTTACATGCGTCCGGTCTCGTTCATGTATGGTTGTGTTTGCCTGCCTGTCTTCATGTGGATTACCTTTTGGATATTATTAAGTACTGTGTGAACCTTTCAACGTCATGCCTTTGTATGCAGCTCAACCTTGACAGAAAGTGTAATATATAGCTTGCGGTGTGTTTTTGTTTAGTTTTTTTGTCAGTGTTTTGGTGTTATTTTTCCCTATCACCACAGACCTGTTATTGTGCTTTGAATAGGGAAATCGTTCCCTCAAGGCACATATGGCAGAATTCATCAACCTAGCACATCAGTCGAGCTTCCCGGGAAACTGCCTTTGTTTATTTCTATTCGTGGGACTTGACAAAGTGCATGGACAAAGGCACAGTTGTCCGTGGAGGGACCTCGAGGGAGCTTCGCCGCATTGGTGGAGTGGGTGCAGGGATCATGTGGATCATCTTTCACAGTTGGACTCGACGACAACACAAGCCCCACTCCCAATCCAGTGCCCAGCCAGGAACCTCCAGACGAAGCGGGAGCGGCAGCATGAGCCTCTACCGTGATGCAGGAGCCAGCGACTAAAGGAATAGCTGAGCGAAACATCGCCGCGGAGCCGGAGCCTCGCGTGTCTGAGCAGATGTGTGATCCGGTTGCATCATCTGTCGCAGAGGGAGTTTGTGATGGTGCGAGGGTGAAGAAAGGAGCCCCGCCCACACCCTCCACCATGAAAAGTTATTATATTTTGGAGAGGACGATCCCTTACCCATTTTAATCCGTCTCGGGACTGTATGGTCTATTTTGGACTCTCTGGTGCAGCCCAGTTTCCCTCTCCCACCTCCTCTTCAGACTTTTTGGTGTTTTGCCAGTCCCTCAGTTCATTCTCAGTCCCTTCTCCAGCCCTAAGCCATGCCTGCAACTCAGTCCTTGCTGTCTCCCATCAGCCCCTCAGTTCATCATCCGACTCCTCTCAGTGGCACGACTACACCTGGGGTCCGCTGTGAGCCAGCTGGGCGTGGAGATCCTGTGGCTCCGGCTCCAACCTCAGATTCCGTCCTGCCACCTTGGCCCATCGCCCTAACTCCTCCGCCTTCGCTCCTTCCTCCCTCGACTCCAACAGCGACCATTGAGCTTTCAGCTCCAATGGACCCTCGGACTATTGGCTCCACCTGGGTCAGACATCGTCAGCACATCGTCACGAACTTTGGGGCCCTTCCCTGCTCTCCCAACCCCCGTCCCCCATCCCATGGCTCTATTTGGCTCCACCTTCCCTCAAGCTACGCCTCAGCCCTCAGTCGTTCCAGCTTCACCTCAGCTCCACTGGACTTTCGACCATTGGCTCCACCTGGGTCAGACATCGTCAGCACATCGTCACGAACTTTGGGGTCATTCCCTGCTCTCCCAACCCCCGTCCCCCGTCCCATGGCTCAATTTGGCTCCACCTTCCCTCAAGCTACGCCTCAGCCCTAAGTCGTTCCAGCTTCACCTCAGCTCCACTGGACTTTCGACCATTGGCTCCACCTGGGTCAGACATCGTCAGCACATCATCATGAATTTTGGGGCCATCACGCAGCCGCCGTTTTGAAATGGCTCCGGAGGGAAGAAAACCGGAAGTGTCGCCTTTAATCATAGGAGAGTCACGAATGCGATGGCGTATTGTTGTGTTTAATGTAGAAATTAGTTATTCTAAAAATGTACATACATTTCTTTCATACTAATATATACAGTGAAATTCATTTATAAATAAAAACTTTTTTTCGGAACGTAAAAAAAGAAGCGGGAACGAACTATAGACATATCCTATATTGGATATTAACATCCAATAGTATAAATCGCGGCAGCAGCTTTAGGTTGGTAGTCCAAGGCATTGTTGTCTATCTGTACTTCCGGGGTTCTTCCCACCGGAGCCTTGCTTTCGATTTCAAAATGGCGGCTGCGTGAAATCAGCGTATTCCCTGCACTCCGGCCCTCCACCCCTATAGCTCCATTTGGCTCCACCTTCCCTCAAGCTACGCCTCAGCCCTCAGTCGTTCCAGCTTCACCTCAGCTCCACTAGACTTTCAGACCATTGGCTCCACCTGGGTCAGGCATCGTCAGCACATCGTCATGAATTTTAGGGCCATTCCCTGCACTCCGGCCCTCCACCCCATATAGCTCCATTTTGGCTCCCCCTTCCCTCAAGCTACGCCTCAGCCCTCAGTCGTTCCAGCTCCACCTCAGCTCCACTGGACCCTCGGACTATTGGCTCCACCTGGGTCAGACATCACCATCACATTGCCACAGACTTGCGGCCCGTTCCCCGTTCCCTGCTCTCAACCCCTCCACCCCTATGACTCCATTTGACTCCACCTTCCCTAAAGCTACGCCTCAGCCCTCAGTCGTTCCAGCTCCACCTCAGCTCCACTGGACCCTCGGACTATTGGCTCCACCTGGGTCAGACATCGCCATCACATTGCCACAGACTTGCGGCCCGTTCCCCGTTCCCTGCTCTCAATCCCTCCACCCCTATGACTCCATTTGACTCCACCTTCCCTAAAGCTACGCCTCAGTTGTTTTACATTATTCATGACAGTGTTGCCTGTGTTTCGTCTGCCCCTCTGAGACGCAACTCATTTATGATGGAGGGAAAAAGAGCCCGATTGCAGCAACTTACTAGCCTGGCAAGCCAGACCTACATCAAGATGTTAGGTCTGGGAACTCACAATTGGCATACCTCAATCCGGGGGGCGGGATAAACGGTTGTCTTTCAATATCCCTCGGCACACAATAGGATAGCGCTACAACCAACCAGAGCAACGAACGGCTGTGGCTGAGTGAGTCCCATGCGTTTTTCCACCAGTGAACCAGCTAGTTGGTATATTAAACTTTTGCCGTATCCGGTTGTCAAAACTCTGAACACATCTTCCTTTTTTAGGAATGACTTAAGTGACGTTCTCTTAACTCCAAGTCATCCAGAGTCGCGGCCAAAGCCGATTCGAAAGACCGCTGTTCGGCAGCAGCATCTACTTTGTTTTCAAGCAGAGGGAAATCACCTATGGAAATCACGTGGAACCGTCATAACTCTGCCGTCATTATGTTAAGCCCGCCCACCAACTCTATACACGATCTGATTGGCCGGACGAGTTTTTGTTTTTTCCAGCTCAAAAGTCTATGGAGAGTTGCTAGACCACACTTTGCTGCAAAATCATTTTTGCTGCCGCTAGGGTGCGTCTAGATTTCTAGGCTAGCAACTTACAGTTTTATTACTGATATTTTGCACCAATTTCCCAGCAAGTGAACATTTTGTTCTCTTGACTTGCTACAGCTAATATATACATAGAGACGCTGTTGTTAGCATGTAAGATATGCAGCTGCTGCGTAGATGTACATACATCAATCCCGTAGCAGCTCTAGACAGGTGGAGCTGGGGAGGTGGAGGGGTTCAGAGAAACTCTTCATACCGCTGCAGGACTAGCTTACAGCAAACACTGAACCAGACTATTTAAATGTTGAGCAAGCAATCTCATTGGCTGCAGGATCAGCAGAGGCCAATCAGCTTGTGCCGTGTGGTAATGATGTCATTGCCTGCAGATTGCATGTAAAGGACCATCAGCGCCCTCGTTTTGTGACTGAACTAGATATTTATTTTACAGATTTTTTTTTTTTTTGCCACAAAGTTTAAAAGTTTTGACTATATGACGATACTTAATAGTTAAGATAATAAAAGTCTTCTAAAAGTAGAAAGAAAGTCTTTACAAGTTTCTTTTTTGTAAAGATTTTATTGGGAATATACATACAGGTGCAAAATATGCAAATGCACTAGAACTATCAGCATCATTAATTTTTTCTTCATAACAAATAACATGTTGTTCTTCAGTTATACAAATTATTATACAGTTATACAGTGTTAAACCAAAACATTCAGTTCAATTTGATTCAATTCAGTTCAACAGAACAATAGCTTCATTATTCGGCTCGATTCAGTCAAATTGTGTTCTTATCAGGGCAGTTAAATTGATAATATTACAGAATATATGTATATATGTAGTCAGTTCTCTTCATGTTTACACGGGTGTCCAGCAGAGAAACCACAGGTGTGAAGACCAACATCCTCCAACAGACACAATACTGACTGTCTTGACCAATCAGAATCAAGTATTTCAGAGAGCCGTGTGATAATTCAGACGAACTGTGATAATGTCGGTGAGTGTATGTGACCTAGATTCCCCTCTATTCACTCCATCTTCATGTCATCTGCGTGTTTCTCATTCGTCCATCACTGAGCAAATGTCAGGACAGACTGCGAGTGAGTAAATCCTCTTACAGTAAAACCACAGCGTTATCTATCTCTCTCTCTCTCTCTCTCTCTCTCTCTACCTATTCTACTCGTTCTGTTATCTCCTGTCTCTCCCTCTCTCTCTCTGTGTCTGTCTGTAAGTCTCTTTTATTTTATAGCATTTATTTTCTTTCCATTTTAGGTCTTTGTCTTATATGTCGCCCCATCAGTGTCTCTCGCTCTCTCTGAGTGGGGGGATGGGAGTCAGATTAGTGTCTTCTTCTCTCATTGGCTGCTCTACCACTGATGTCATCAGTGCTCTTGGCCAATCAGATGCCTCAACACATATGAAAGCTGGCCAGCGAACCCATCTGACATAATTTGACACACACACACACACACACACACACACACACACACACACACACACACACACACACACACACACTTACACTTGTTTATATCATTATGAGGAATTCCATAAACATAATGATTTTTATTTGTAAACTGTATTTATAATCTATTTGTTTTCCTCATGGGGTCCAAAAATGTCCCCACAATGACAAAAATTTCAGGTTTTACTATCTTGATCCTCACAATGTAGGTTAGACAAGAACACACACACGCACACACTGATCTGCCTTTGATTTGGTCTGTTTGTATCAGCAGAATTTGATTGATTACTGAATGTGGATTAATTAATGGATAGTGCAGTTTAATTTTTAAAAGATTTTCTTTTTTTAAAGCTTTACATCAGTTTATGTGTCTAAGCGCATTCAGATGTGTGTGTCCTGCTTGACTGTTCCATCAAAATCCATCCAAATATTAGAAAATCTGACATTTAAAACAAACTCTGATGATGAATTTGCACATTTGTTCTGTATTATTGGATGGAATTTGACAACTCGTGTCTTTCAGTGTTTTGCATTTGGGGTTTTGTGGTCACTGATGGTGCTGCAGTGAAAAGATGCTGAAGATTTACACTGAAGAGAAATCAAAAATCAAAAGCATACAGTAGTGAATTTAGTTTCTGTTCACTGTTTTCTAGTACTGTATATATATGAGCAAACTACTGGTCCTATCTTCATTTATTAATAAACGCTCATGAGAGCCACATCAGGACAGACATGTGTGTGTGTTTCTCTCTTTGTGCAACACACACACACATGCGGTCAGTGACTCAGCTAAAAGCCATTAACCAATACACAATCAGCATTTATTATTAATGCATGCATTACAACAAACACACGCATATTAAATAACATATACACAAACGATTGCAAATCTGAGCTCGTGACAGACAGTGTAGACAGAAGTGAAGGTGCACAGACAGATATACAGTAGGCTACATATGTGTGCATGTTCTGTATATCGTTATATAATAACCGCTGCTCCGGATATGAGCGAAATCACGTCACGTCACGTGAGCGCGCGCAAGCCGAGGACACTCGCCGAATAACCTTGCGCGCGCTCAATCTGCCGCTGATCGATTAGCGATCAGAATGATTGATTGTGTGTGATCTGTTCAGTGACTATCGCACGTAGACCGATGCTTTCACACTATAACCCATAATCTCGTTCATCTCTTTGCACCCGTTGACCTTTAACGCACACGGATGAGCGCGCGCACACATCCGAGAGCGCGCAGCAACAGCATCGTCAGATTGTCCTTTAATACATTAGGGCCTGCTGCACACACACACACATACATACACACACACACACACACACACGGCTGCCCAGCAGACGCATTGCGCAACGCGTCCCGGTAAAAAGGTTGAAATGAATGAAATAGGTACCGGCGATTGCGCTCGCGCATCAGGGCATCACCGTCCGGAATAACA